GCCTGTCAGCCTTCCATCTGTGCACAAACTTATCTCGTGCCCTCATTGGTCATGTGCGCGTTCGTGTGTGTTGGAGGAGGGGCTCTGTAAGGAAGTGGCAGATCTTTTCCGGCTGTGTATTTTCAAATTCTCGCGCACTCGAGCTGGTTTCTCCAAAATTACCTACCCCACCTTTAATGTCAACGCGAATGCTGGAAAAAGATCTCCTGCTCTCTCTTGCCTGTGCAGAGAGTAAACGTTTGCACAAAGTTACCGTCTCCAGCATTGTTGACAGTGTAGACATTTTATTTTGTCATGGGCTGAAAAAGTTTTAGTAAAGTTTGCATTATTACTTCCCACTGAAGATTTCTGTTGTCCCTGTTTGTCATCATTAGGAGTGAAATCTCTTTGCCTAGTTTTAGTTTGAAAGGTTTTCAGACAGTATGGTATTTAATTGTGACATACTTGTATGAGTAGTAACAATTTGATGTAGTCACAAAAGTCAAATTAGGAAAATACACCCTGAAAGTAAAGAAAAACCATTGAAAAGTAGGGATATTGTGGATTTGTCCGGGCTAAATATTACTGTAGACATGACACAATATCAAGGTAAGATGAAAGTGTCATAATTATCCTGACTCAGGTGATATAATACATTTCTGACAATATAAGAATATCAAAACAAGAAAAAACATGTATTAATTTATATTGGCTGGGTATCTTCTCTGCTAGCTGCCTGCCTGCTTATCATAATTCCCAGATGGAAATACCGTATGTGGGATGTGACAGGGAGCAAAGAGCACCACATCGCTATCAGTCATTACATTTTTGTGGCTGGAGGTAACATTGGTGGAGAAAAATGTTGTGAAGACTGTGATGCACCTTGGATGATGAGGAGATGTGTGTGTTTCTGTGTGTGTGTGTGGCGGGATCAGCTCATTGGGTGGGGGTGTGAGATGTTTCAAGATTCAGTTTCCTCCTCTTCCTCCCTCCGCTGCCGTCTCAAGAGCCTCTAAGTGTCTCTGGACTTATTTAGTTAGGTGTTGTGTGCTGTGGATAACCGTCCAAATGTAATGAACACTACAGGTGATTTATCACTGACGTGTTTTATTGCAGCTGGAATTGAGTTTATGAGAACACATCAACCATAAACATCTTTAGACTCAATATTGTTGGATTAATGATCAGAAATATTCCTTGAAGAGGCAGAGGTACTCTGGCTGTATCCTCGAGAGACCACAATGCATTGCAGCGAGATGTTGGTTTAGTTGTAAAGGGCATTGTTTTCTTCCCTTGAACCCTGCTCTCTTTTGCTCTTACTATCGCTACCATATGGCTTCATACGCCTACACAATATACTTAGCCGAATACAAGTTCATGTGCATGTAGAGGCTACTGAAATTAATTATGGGAAACGTAAGAAATCGCTCATGCAAAATCACTATAACTAACTGATTTTTGAGCCTTTTAGAAAGACTGATACAAATATTACATTTCCATGCATTTTATTGTTATAATTTAACTTCAAATGTATATTTAGTTTCACCTCCGTTAAATCTAGCAACTTATTAAAGTTCATTTGATAGTTTTATTCCTCAAAGTTGTCTATTGTATTCTTTCAAGGACTCAAAACTGACCTATTTATTTATGTCAAAGGGACATTATAGTACTCTGTTGTCGTCCATTGCATTTCATACCGATAGACCATAGTGTTGGAATTCTTACTTGAATAAACGTTTAACCCATTGAGACTCTTTAAGACCAATTTTCCTTTCCCATGCACTTTGCAAGGGTGTGAAGTTGCATGAGAACCCTCCACTCCACACACCGCCTCACTCTGGATAAGAGAGTTCTTCTGAGCTGTAGGTGGTTCTCCTTACAACATCAGACAAAACTAATCACCAAACTCATGTCCTCCCCTCATAGAGTGGTGCAGTCCCAGCACCAGTGCTAAGCTAAATGCGGCTATTATTCAGAGTGATGACATTTAGTCTCGTCATTAGCCACTTGTTAGCAACCTGCCATTAATACAACATGTAAACGCTTCAGACGTTTAACATTAGGGTATGTAGTGACTTGTTTTATGTTGTACGGCAAAACGGAAAAATCTCGTAAGATTGTTTTAGTCACAGACCTTATTTTGGGAATCCAACCAAAAACACAGGAGCTTGGAAATGCTAACTCGTTTTCAGGTTAAAGGTGAATTCCTGCTCCTTTCCTCTGCTTCCCACGACAAAGCTGTCATTAGGGAACATCTGAATGTGGCACAAAGCGTTGAGATTGAAACCATTGTTCCCTTGGGTGTCTCACTGTTCTTACCCGAACCAGATGGGGAACTGGTCTGGAGGTGGATGAATCTGGACGTCATGATGCACCAGGCTGAGCAGCTGCTCACCGTCAGTGATGTCTTTCATCCTACACGGTTCTCCTACAAATCGTGTGTTTTTGTCATCCTCCTCTTCAGCTTCTTCAGGTCAATTCAACTTCAGCTTCACCTCCAGCCCTAAAAGACTACTTTTTTTGTCTTAAATAGCTTCAAGTCAAGGAATTGTTGTCAAGAAAAAGTCAAGAACAATTGTGTATATATCAAATTAACAGATGCATGACACTGGTCTGAGGAAGACTGATGTGGATTTTGATATTTGTTAAATTGTTTGGGAGTTTTACCTTTTTTTTTTGAGTAGTTTCACTCTCTTTGAGGTCATTTTGAGTCCTATGTAGTTGTTATGTGAATGTGTGTGTCTCTTTCTAGTCATTTTGAGTCTCTTTGTGGTCATTTAGCCTCCCTTTGTAGTTACCTTGTTTCTCTGTGTGGTCATTTTGTTTCTCTATGTCGTTGTTTTATATTTCTTTGTAGGAATTGAGTCCCTCTCTAGGAACCTAGGGCCCACCCCTGACGTTTAGGGCCACTGTTCCCAATAGACCCCTTTCAGTAATACATCTATGCTGGTGAGGTCTTCTACGTAAATCCTTAGTATTCTTGGGCTGCATAAATACCGTATAAAATCTACAGGAAACTGGTAGGCAACACTGATACCTATAGCACCTGCTATGTTTTCTCAGATCTGCTAAAAAAACAAATATTCTGTGTTTGAGTCACTGCATGAAATCCGTCATCACTCGCTCAGCCAGCGTTTTGGTCAGTCCTTCTGTCCAGTTAAGCATCTCTTTCCAGCTCAAATATATTCTGTTTTTCTCTAGCAGTCAGTCATCATTTGCACAATAGAATCTGATGTTGCCTTTCCAAAATACCCATTAGCACTCTGCTGATTTTTGGCAGTGTAAATGCTCACTCCAGATGTGCCGGCACCAGCCCATTCCCACTCTACGTAGCCTTTCTCCCAGACGTAATTTAGGGTTTTCCGAAACTCTTTTCATCGGCTTAACTCCTCCAGAAGCATCAAACTTTCTGGTTTATGCTGCTGCTGCCCTCAGGTGCAGAAACACCGTGTTAGATATACAGTGTACGTCTCCTCTTGCTTATTACATCTCCAGTCTGCCTGCTTGAACTCCAGCGCTGCAGGCCCACTGAAGTTATGAAGATTTCCTTACCCAGCTTACATTTTCCGTCTCTTTTCATCATTATAGCTTTTATCTGGTTTTCTCGCTGTGTGTGGCTCTCTTTCTGAGGGAATTGCATAAGTCTTTTCTCTGTGTGTGTGGGCAGCGTTGCGTTTTATGTAAGGCGGACATGGAAATGGCTAGCGATAACACAAGGGTCTCGCTCTGTGTTCTTTCTGCCTCTCTCTCGCTCTCTGCCGGTCTTATAGCCGTGTGTGTGTGTGTGTGTGTGTGTGTGGGGTTGGGTCATCGGACTGTGGCTCTGCGTGGTGGTTGGCTCCAGATAACACAATAGGGTGATTCTGCAGGCCCACTCGCACGGAAATATATATTTTTTTACACACACACCTTGAAATGAATCATATTTGACTCCTAATATGAAAATGGTGATACATGTTGACATGTTGTGATTATGAGTCTCTTTTGAAGTCTAACGTGATACAGGTCAAACACTCAAGTCTGTTTATTTGCCTGAATAAATAAAAAATGTTTGCTTCAATATTTACTGAAGTTTTACTTATTTTAAGTTGAGGATGGTGGATTTTGACGGCTAACATTGAGTCACTCCCATTTGATTAACTGTGGCTAATAAGTGTTAATGAATGCTAATGCAAAATAATATTTTTAACCGACTCATTTTGAAACCAAAACCTATAAAAGGGTGCTCAATATGCACGGAGACTGCATACATTTCGTAATGTATGTATCGTGACACCCAGTGCTGCTTCTTATGCATTACACTCAGCTGAACTATGAGTTTATGAAAAGAATAATAACTGGCTATTGTTGAAAACCCCAGATTTATGCTAATCTGGGAGAAGCACAAACTGGGGCAAAGTTATTAGAGGAAGTTAGCCAGGCAGGCATGCTTACGTTTGTAGCTTATGCTAGATTTGTAGTTTACGTTTTGACTTGTAAGCTCTTTCCTAACCAGGTGTTTCTGTCATATTAGTCCCATGCTCACTGTGTCTACATGAGGAGAAACTCAGAGTTTGAATCGCCCGTCCTGTGTGGTTACAGTTGCTAAACTATCAGACTTTACTCTTGTGGGATTTAGCTCACTGTCAATTCTGCTCATTTTTAAACTGATTAAAAAAGTTCTCCCAGAGTTTCCTCCAAAGCCCTCCAGCTGCAGGAACAAACCTGTTATTTTGATTGATGTCTGCTGTACTTGAATCCTAACCCCTCTAATGCTATTTACCGCTAACTGCTAATGGCCCCTTCAGAGTGCAGATTGGCACACAGATAACCCGCTTCCCCTCGAGGGGGGGGAGAGTTATGTAATAAGTGGCAGGAGGTGATAAAATGTGAAATATTCAAATGTGTTATTGAGAGTAAACACTATTCAAAAGGCTTCCTCTCAAGCCTCAGAAAAAAGCTGCTGCATCTGATTTTTAGCAGGTGTTGCTCAGAAATTAACTCGGAGGAAGCGCACACATTATTAATGGCATAATTTTATTATTTATTTTTAATAAATAAGAAAATCCTATTAATAAAAACACCTCTACACCCTGGTCACCTTTTTTAGATACTGTATCCAACCTGTCAGAGAAAGGGTGTTTCACTGAGTGGGAATGCCTGGTAGGATGTGTAGGCCCGGGTTTCTATGGCAACCATCTGCTGCTACGCTCACAAGCGTTCGTCGGCAGCCCACACAGTGTGACATCCAGCAGCAAGCCAATCTGAGAGAGAAAGTAAATCTGTGATTGAATGTTAACACGAAAGGGCCAGGAATAATAAGGACACAGTTCAAACTGAGTGGTTGGAGGAGCACAAGCAAAGGTGCATTTTATCCAGAATATCAAATTCTTTCAGGACTCTGTTGAGTTTCCTGCCGTTATAGTAAAGACAGAAGGTGGACCATACAACACACTTCCATAATAGACTGAACAGAAGGATGTAAAGCTGCTTTCAAATGTGTTGGAACACAAGTTTGGTAAAGGATAAGTAAGTTGAAACCACTTTTAGAGAGCAGGTACAAAGTTAACCACAACTTCCTTGTTTAAAGGGGCCTTATTCGGCTCATTTTCAGGTTCATATTTGTGCCTCTACTGTGTCATCTTTAGCTTTTCCCATACTGCAGCTTAATAATAATAAAAAGCCATAAATCTGCATTTGTTTATGATACGAAACACAATATCTGCCTTTTAACTGAGAAGAACAACGTTAAATCAAGACATTTTTAATGAAACTGAATCTGACAAGTCAGATTTGTAGTAATGCAGTCACGGTCTGATAGGATTTCATATACAAAAGAACTCTAGATGACGCAATGATATGGTATGCGTCTTAACCATTCAGATAAGGGGGCTTAATGGATGCCTCCTCCACATACTCAACTAAAGACAGATGTGTAACGACTACAAAGACACACAAACAATAACAAAAGAGAAACTAAACAACTCTAAAGTCTGTGAGTGATCCCACTATGTCCTTGTCTGCTTCTCCATCCACCACTATAATAGAACTGGGGCTAAGAATTGATCTCGATACAAATGCCTGCAGTGTGAGCGTGTGTGTGTGTGTGTGTGTGTGTGTGTGTGTGTGTGTGTGTAGGCACCTGAAAGCACCAGTCTATTGTGAACACACACTTTCTTACTCTTAAGTACACTTGTGTAGTGCGTAGGATTCACTTCAACTTTAGGGGCCACGCTCTGGGAACAACTCCTAATCTGGGCAAACTGCACTTACATACTTAACGTCAGACTGTATATGCATTACTGATTGCCGCCTAAAGACAACCCATTGACAAAAAGAAAGCGTGACTATGAGCTTGTGGAGGACAATGTATTCAGTGTGAAATGCACACATTGCAGAGTTTATCTTCTTAACAACACTGAATAAAATGTGTTGTTTTTGTGGGAATGGATGTCGAAACTGACCAAAAATACTAATGTTATTGTTGAGTGATAACCTTGTGGATGTGTTTCAGATGCAGGAGACGGGCGGTTCCCATCGCAGCTCTCAGAGGGCGTTCAGTGTCCTGGACCGTCTGCTGCTCACACACCCTGTGTGGCTGCAGCTGTCACTCAACCAGGACTCCGCCCTCTACATCCTGCTCAGAGAGCCTGTGGGGGTACGTCAATTATTTTAATGTTATATAATAAGAGTAAAGGAATACATTTTTACACACATTAAGACATTTGAATTAGAGTCAGAATCAGAATACTTTATTTATCCTGGGGGAAATCATAAAACTGTGGTATTGAAGAGTTGAGATACTTATCTTAGGGTTGTAATTTCCTCAAACTCAAAGTTCATGTTAATTAAAGACACTTAAAATTGAATAGTTTAACATTTTGTCGAAAAAACTATTTTATTCTAATTTGTCACGAACTAAAGCTTCTTTGAGGTTTTGACATTACACCATAGCTCATATTCATTGTTTTCCCTTTGCTTTTATTCTGACTCTACATTGCTGTTCACCCTCTGTGCCTCCTCCAGAAAAAAACCTGTCATAACAAAAGACATTTTTTAACCTCCCTGTGCTTTCCGTTTTGTTTCTGCTGTGCTTACAGACCTTTTTGGTGCGTAAATGCAGCTTCAGCCAGAGGAAGGTGCTGTGTTTGAGAGCGACGGGGGACAAAAGTGCCTCCTCTGTTAAGGAGTGCTTCATCTGTGAGGAGGACTCCAGTGAGTATAAAACAAGCTACATTAGCATGAATTATCCACCTGTGAGCGGCGCACAAAACGCTACATTTCTCTGCTCGTCAATTTTGTTTTAGCACAGCTCATTCACTCACTGGGTGAAGTAGTGCGGGACACAGGGGATAGGTACTTCAAATAATTTGCAATTGCCAAATTTCCTGTTAGATTTAAAGTCTCCCACTACCTCCACAGCTGTCAATCAAACTCTGTCTCTTCTATAACCAGCATTCGCTTTGGAGAGCTCAGCGCTCACCTTCCCTGACCTGTGTCGCCTGGTGGCCTTCTACTGTATCAGCAGGTGATGTTTTATTTGAACTAAAACCCAGCATGGTCAAAAGAATGTGACTTATTGCTTTGTTTCACCCCTTTTCACGGCAGCACATAATGATATATCAGTCAACATCGTGCTTTCACATTTGAAAACAGCTCAAAGCAGCCAATCAGAAATCCTTATTTGTCCCACAGCAGGTAAATATACATTGTTAGAGCAAAGGGGACAGTGCAGATTAAAAAGGGAAATACAATCAGTAGACCAAAATATTAAATTAAGAGGCAAGCAAACGTTCAAATATGTACACATCCTAGGTAAAAAATAAGTCGCAGCATTATAAAAGTATGTGTCCAAATCATTTTTGCCATTCAGTGTGCACGTTCTGGAAAATTCATGGCCACACACATACTGAGAGTTTCTATTATTTCTATCATTTCCAGAGATGTGTTGCCCTTCCCGCTGCAGCTACCAGAGGCCATCGCTAAAGCAACGACACACAGGCAGCTGGAGAACATCTCACACATGGGACAAGGTACAGAGATGAAGACCTCTCATTCTTTTAAACCAAACGTATTAAATACTTAACTTTGATGTTCAGTTTTTAGCATTTAGTTCAAAGCAATCAAATGCTAGTCCCACATTTCACTAATCTTTGTGTTACTTTCACATTGCTTACTATTGTTTTAAAGCTTAACTACTTTACTTTGTCATTTGCTCTAAAAAACAATAGATACTTTACTAGATTATCCTTTTAACTGTGCTTGCATAAGAGCTTTATGCTAGCATTGCGGGTTGAAGGTGGTGAAGTCAACATACTTGCTAAAAATCACAGTCATGTTGATGTTTAGTTTTAACATTTAGCTCAAATTGCTACTATCACATGGCCTACCAACTACCAAGACGAGACTGTTCCAAATGTGTTTACAGTGTATACATTCTTCCTGTAGATTACTTATGAGGCAAGACATCATTTTAAAATGTCCACCTTGCAGCATTTGATCGTGAGGATACAGTGAAAGTCCTCTGTAACAGCTCCTCCTAAAGGAATGAGTGCAAGAACTGACTGCCAGCTTGCATCTATTTTAACATGGAAACATGTACTGAGCAGCAGCAGTGAGCGAGGCGTGACTTCGGTTTGGCTAAAATTGACACCAGTTAGACACAGTATGTGTCCCCGACTGCAGCTCGGAGATAAAACCCTTTTTCTCGCCGTGGTTCTGCAGGTTCAGTCTGCTGTAGTCAGATAAACCTACATTGCACATATGTAAGTGCTTATTTGTGGTTCGTTTGACCAAGTGCAGTTTAAAGGTAAGGTAACAAAAAGTGAGCTTTATTCCAAAATGACAGACAGGAACAAACTTACAGGCGGGAACAGGCAGGAGACATGGACTAGCAAAGACGACCATAAGCGAGGCAGGGAACAAGGACATGAAGAGACAAGGTAGCATGGACATGGAAAGACGACGAACAGACATGGAGCACAGGGGAAGACAAGACTAAATACACAGAAGGGTAATCACAGGACAAGGCACAGCTGGGCAGGGGAGGCAGAAACACAAGGACAATCAGACACACCAGGGAAACTAACGACAGGAAGGCAAACACAGGAAGTAGGATCAGACAAGACACAAGGAGGAAAACATTTCAAAATAAAAGGTGGAAAATGAAAACATAAATCCAAAAGTAATCTGAGACGAGGTTAAGTAGCATTAACGAGAGATATAGAGATTCTATGTGTACCATTTCAACACAAGTGAATAATTAGAAGCCTAATTTAGTAGATATTTACACAATTGCTTCAACAAATACAAAATGATTGGGTTTTTTTGTTGGTATTTCTGCACTTTTTAAATGTACTAAACCCATCTTTTCCCTGACTAGACTTCTGGAGCCCCCCGTCTGCTTCAGAGATCCAAAACGGACCGGTGGAGTCGGGTGCAGCAACCAGCGGCAGCCAGAGTCAGCAGGACCGCTTCACCCTGCTGACCCACGGGAGGCCCGGGAAACTCTGCTTCATCAACCCTCTCTTCCTGCAGCTGGAGCTTAGCAAGGTTAGTAACTCTTTGTAAATCCATTACAAGGGATCTAATCCATCTTCCTATGTGACTGCTACCGTTTACCTTGCACTTCACTTTAACTCCTCGATAAATAAACCGCTGGCTCGTGTTATATAAATAAATTGTTCTCTTCTACAGCAGCCACAACTCATTAAGCACAGTGCCTCCAATAAACGGCACCGCTTCAAGCGCAGCATGCGTCTCCGGCTCTCCGAGTCCTCCATGAATCTGTCCCTGGAGGGGGTCGGCTCCTACTCGCCTCCCTCGTCCCTGGAGCTGCCCGGCGGCTCGGAGAGGCTGCAGAAGGCCGGAGCCAACCCGCAGAGAAAAGTCCATCTGGGGGCAGGAGTCCTGAGGAGAACCCCCGCCGTATCCACGGGGTCTGCAGAGGAAGAGGACGTGATATCTGTCTACGTGCCAAAAGTAATACGTGTTAGCATCTTGAGTTTTACGTGTTTAAGTTTGGATAATCATATTACAGTCTCATGTTTTTTAATAATGTAAACAAGTCCCAACTTTAGCATGTTTACCCATTTTCTCAACTCATCTAAAGTCTATTAGTGCAAAGAGCTAGAAATAACCCACCACAAAATCCCATTATATTGTCGTTGCAACTTAAAATCCGTTTCTGTCTAGAGATTGATGAGTAAGGCAATAACTGCACAAAACACAATATTCCCATGATAATCCTCCTAAAGATCTTGAATGCTTGCAAGCAGGCTCCTTCTAACAAGTAAGCATCCTACAGTGATAAACACAGAACCTTTAAAGGTGGCACAAAAATGTTTACAATAAATCACATACATGTCGTCAAATGCCACCTGGTGAAACATTAACACACATTAAAACACAAGCTCTACAAACTGAAGGGGATTTCCACCAGAGGGTGACCTGACGTCCCAAGGTCAGTTTCTATCTCTCCCACTCACATTAAACTTGCAGTATTAAAACATCTTTTTATCAAGGATTACAACACCTAAGGATTACTTTTCTCAATGGTTACATCTCACACCTTTAATCCAACAATTCCCGTTCCATGATGCTGTTAAATGATCGTTTCTGTCCTGGTCCAGACGTCTGCGAAGGTGGAGGATCCTCTGCAGCCGGCCGAAGCCCAGGAGCCAGGCATCGAGGTGGCGGTTCTGGCTCTGGAGCGCCGCCCGGCTCCGTGCCTGGCCGAGCTGGACAGCAGCAGCTCCTTCAGCAGCATGGACGAGGACAATGACTCGGATTCAGATCCTGAAAGCATGGCCCGAGCCCAAACTGACGTCTACCATCGGCCGCCGCTCGTTCGCTCTCGAGGCCGCGGCGGGCTGCACCGCATGAGCGAGGCGTTCGTGTGTTTCTTCGCTCCAGATAAGCGGCTGACGCGCCTGGTGGAGGAGCTGTCCAGAGACCGGCGCTCCACCTTCGGGGGCATGGTGCAGGACTTCCTCCTGGCGCAGAGAGAAGTGCTCAAATCCCTGGCTTCCTCTCCTTCGGCCACTTCCTCTGCCCGTGTGACCTCCGTGCAGATGCTGCAGGGTCTGCGCCTCTTCCTGTCCCAGGCTAAGTGCTGCCTGCTGGACAGCGGAGAACTGGAGCCGCCTATCGAAACCCTGGTGCCGGAGAACGAGAAAGGTGAACACACTCACCTGGGAAATGTGAGAATGCAAATATTGCTAAATCAAGGAAAAACACATTTTATTTGACTCATTAGTTTTAAATGGCTTTTTTCTTTTCCGCCTGTAAATAAATATCCTTGTGAGGCAGTGCAGTATTTACACAGAATGTCCACATTATTGCACAAATTAGATCAAGAAGAGATGGCCCACCACATATCAACAAATACTTGCCTTGTGACAACCCGATTGGTTCATATGGCATTTGAACATCTTTAAATAACAAGTTGTTTTTGTAGACGGAGGAGGTTGAAAAAATGTGACAAAAAAAAAACGGTACTATTAGAGAAACACTGATTCAATAGAGCGCGGTGCCAGAGGACGCAGGTCTATGGAAACAGACAGACAGCCTTTTCTCTCATAAATGGTGGGCAGCCCAGGCTCCAGTGAAAGGCACTGTCAACACAAAGTAGTTTTCTCGTGGGAAGGGGGGGTAGAGCCTCATTCACTAGAGCTCATATTGTCTCTGATATCTAGAAAACAGCGTTAGGAAAGCCACGCATCCATCACATCACATCACTAGTGTGCTTCTTCCCCTTTACTGTAAAGACATGGCGCCGCGCTACAGGAAGGATTCCAGTTAGATCTTTTGACACACTCGTGGGTGGGTTTCTCTCTTTTGGAGCTCTTTGTGTGTGTTCGCAGGTGTGTGAATGTGTGATGCTTGCTTTGCAGTGCAGAGGCTTCAGGGGGAGAGGGCTCGGCCGCTGCCTTCCCTCCTTCCCTCCTTCCTTCCTTCCTTCCTTCCTTCCTTCCTGCGCTCTGATTCTGATTTATCTCGCACTGCGTCGGTGGGAGGCATTTGCATTTTTTTTTTCTCCCCCTCGTTTATCATAAAAAGATATCACAGTCCCACGCTCACTTGAAGAGCAGCACGATTCAGGGGAGGGAGGGAGTGAGGGAGGGATGGAGGGAGGGATGGAAATAGGCAGGATACTTTGTAATCAGTTACACATCTATGAGCACTCACACAATCACATTACATGTAATCTGTTACTAAGAGAGAGAGATGCTGGGAGGTAGAGAAACAGATTATGGAGGGTGTGAATGATTAATCACAGGAGGGGTGAAATAGTGAGGTAGATGGGGGCGGGGGGGGGGGGGGGGGGGTGTTGGGGATTATCCAGGAGGGAAACATGAGGGATGGAGGGCAGGAGAGGAGGATGTTGATGATGAGTGGAAAACAGCGAGCACTGGAGATTTGTTACCCACTTAGTCAGGACTGCCCACTATCTGCAGGAATATCAGTGTGTGTGTGTGTGTGTGTGTGTGTGTGTGTGTGTGTGTGTGTGTGTGTGTGTGTGTGTGTGTGTGTGTGTGTGT